CTGTGATGGTGGTGGAGCCGAGCCCGAGCGTGTCGCGCACCATCAAGCTGCTCGTCGCGGTCTCCGTGTGCGACATCGTGACGCCCGAGTGGGTCGACGCGTGCCGCGCCGCCGACCAGTTCGTGCCGGTGGACGCGTACTTGCTCGGCGAGTGCACTGTCTCGAGCAAGGCGCCGCGCGAGAGACAGAGCGGAGAGCGATGGGTGAGAGGGGGTGGGGCGGGGGTCGAGAGGCGCGGCGCACGAGAGAGAAGAGCCGAGCAAGAGGGGAGCGCGCGAGAGAGAGCCGAGAGGATGCCCACAGATGCCTCCGAGGCGGGCCCACTCGGCCTTGACACGCCAGTCCCCACGACACCTCAGGGAGTCAAAGTCCCTTGGGACGCCGCCAAGGCGCGCACGCGCGCCGCCGCCGCGCCCTGCCTGCGCGGCCGCACCTTCTACATCACCAAGACCACCTCTCCGGACGCCGACAAGCTCAAAATCATCATCGAGAAGGCCTGGGAGCGGCCGGCCGGCGCGTCTCGGCTGTCCCCCTCCGCTGAGCGCGGCTGTGTGACTTGGCTCTAGGCGGGCGGCGCCACGGTCGACTCGCGTGCGGACCGGCGCGGGGCGACAGAGGAGGGCAGCTCTTCACAGCGTGCGCGCGTGAACAGGTGGAGACGCTGCCGACTACCGCGCCGCGCTCGCCGCTGGTGGTGGTCTGCACCGACAGGGACCGGCGCGAGCTGCAGCGTTTGCAGGCGTGTGCAGCGTTTCGCAGGGAGAGGAGTGCGGTCTGCCGAACCCTCACGCGCCCACCCTCGCCCCGCCTCAGGGAATGCGCAACGTCTCGGAGCTGCGTGACGCCGAGCTGCTCGCGTATCTGCTGCAGCAAAAGTACGGCTGAGCGAGCACTCGTGGAGCCTCGCGTGCACGGGAGGCTGCCGCGGGAAGGTGGGGAGCCTCCGCGCGTACGTTTGTGCATGTGTGCATGTAAATTGCAATGCGCGTTCGGGTGGACGCACTTACTACTTTGCGTACTCCTTGTCGTGGACACAGTCGCGGGAGGGGTACAAGCTATACGTGTGTGGCGAGAGAGACTGTGAGACTGTGTACTCTCTAGCGACACACTGTGTACGCTACGGCGGCTCTTTGACAGGGCCGGGGCCATGCTCATGAGCTGTATGTGGTGAAAAGCGAAGAAAATAAAAGTTAAAGATGGTAGATGTTGTCATCAAGATCGTCACAAAGACGCCCGAGAGACGCGCGCAACGACGAACGAGACCGTGCCCAGTGGCAGTGCTGAGGCGTCTGCTAAAGTCTGTGCGGCGAAAAGTGCCCGCGGGATAGCCCGCCAACGGATTCTGCGATCGCAGAGACACACCTAACAACAACAAGGTAGCATTTGTGCATTGCTTTTCCCAGACAAGTGATTGGTCCAACAATCTGAAGCCTCGGCCGATGGCGAATCTGGGGCGATGGCGGCCGGACCTTCTTGAACGCCTCGGCCAGCTCTCGCGTGGAGCGATCGTTCATCTTCGATGACTGATTCAGCGTGTGCGGCTTCTGCGCATCGCCTGAAATGTAGCAAAAGTCGAGCAACCCTTCAACGGGCGGGCATCCGGCCGGCAAGGACTTGGCGGCCTGCGGATCGTTGCCAGCACGCATGGTACAGATGAACAGCGAGCCGCCCGGCGCCACCATCTTACGGCAAACCTCCACCTCTTCATATTTCACGACGCCGTCTGCGAGCCGCGGGCCGCTCGGCTTGACGAAGAGCAGCACCAGTGGGTACGTGTGCTCCGGCTCGGCAGAGACGAACCACTCCGTTGGGATACCGGAGCGGTCTCTCACGTCGTCAATGACCCTCTGGAACTTGGCCGCCGTCGTGCCACTCTGCACGTGGTACGCTGCAGGTTGTGATACCGTGGTGGTTGCCTGTGCACGGTCCGTGGTGGTCGCGAGCTTGACCTGCTCCTCGCGCTCCAACAGGTTTTGCCACCTCGCCTTGAGTGCTAGCGCCAGCGCATCGGTCCGCTTCTTATTCTTCCGCAGTTGTTCCTGATCAGCATGTAGCTGATCTCTTTCTGCCTGTAGCTGATCTCTTTCTGCCTCGAAAGCTGCCTCGTGCTGCTCTCTTTCTGCCGCGAGCTTTGCGAATCCGGTCTCAAGCGCCAGCGCCTCGTGCTGAATCTGCTTCTTGCGCGTCTCAAGCGTCTCAAGGTCAAGCGCCAGCGCCTCGTGCTGTCGCTCTCGCTCCGCGTCCGATGTTACTGCCTCGGACACGTGTGGCGTGTGCTCCTCGAGTGTTGTGAGCCTCGCGTCTTCACTGGCCTGCCTCTGCTCAAACTCACCCTCGTGTCCTGGTGTCAGTGGTTGGCCGACATGGTCTTGGATCGTCGGCGGGCCGGTCCTCATGTCCGCGACGCTCCTCATGTCCGGCTCTTGTTCGGCACGTGCACCCTGTTTGGCTGTGGCAGCAAACCACCTGCGGAGTATCGCCCCTGTTGGGCGCCTCGTAGGCGGCGTCAAGGGGCTCACCTCTTCGGGCTCGATTTGTGAGCACGATTGTGACACGCCCTGGCGGCTCACGCCGTTGGGCTGCGGTGGGAGCAAACCGGACGAGCTGAGCGCGGGACGCGTTATCGGGCCATGGGCAAGGTCATCATGACCGTCTGCTCCGCCAAGAAGACTGAGCGCTTCGACCGCATCACGGTGCCGATCGAGTTGAAAATGCAGAACGGCCCCACGATCGATGGTGCGCGCATTCACTATTCTGGCGGAGCTTACAATGAGGACGAGTACACGCCTGTGCCCACTATCAAGGCTGGGGAGACTCTCGACGTCGAGGTGAGGCTACGGTCACAATGGCATATGACCATCGCCGACATTCCTCGCCGCTTCTCCTTCAAGCTCAAGTCCGCCAACGGATGGATCCTCGCCAAGGAGACAATCAATGTGGACCACGCTTGGTATGTCTCCTCTGCACTCAACAAGACCTTCGACCCTGCACCGTACGGTCTAAAGAAATTCAATGCGCTCATCTTCGGTACCATGGGCTCGGGCAAGTCATCGTTCGCCAACTCGATCTTTGCGCTTATGTCTGGTGCCAATTCGGACGAGGCGCTGCCCTGCGCACAGCCAGTCCACGGCAGCGACGATCACTGCACGGTCTCGCTCCGCTGCATCGATGCCGACGGCCTGCCGCTACGTATGTGGGACACCAAGGGCCTGACGACCGAGAATTACAAGGGTCCCGAACTCGAGGCGATTATGAAGGGGTCGCTGCCCCACGGTTGGGACATGGACCGCCACATTGACCAGACGATGCTCTCCGAGTCGCCTGACTCGAAAGTCGAGGTGATACGCTTTGGCCGCACGCCGCACGCCGTCGTCTTTATGTTGCCCTATGGCGAGCTTGACGATACCGACGGCGAGTTCATGCAGAAGATCCTCGATCAGTTCAGCAAGATTGTGCGCCTCGGCATCAACCCGATCGTGTTGGTCGCAAAACTCGACGACGCGGACAAGAAGGTGCGCGCGGATCCGTGCGCGTCAAACGGCACCAAGGGCGCCAAGCTCAAGGCCGCAGCCGAATTTCTCGGCATCCCCGTGGGTAACGTCTACCCGTGCATCAACTACCTCGACCTGTCCAAGTCGTTTGAGATCGACCGCAACCTCGCCATCATCCTGCACCGCATTCTGTCGATGGCGAAGCAACGCTGCGAAAGCCTTCAGCGCGAGGCTAGCAACGCCGCGCGTATGAATGATCAGACGACGCTGCCGCCGATCTACCGCAAGATCGGCGAGCTGGAGACGGCCCTCGCCGAGGCCAGCACGCGCGCGGAGAAGGGCGAGGCCGAGCGTGTGACTGCCATCGCTCGGGCTGATGAGCTGGCTGAGAAGCTCGAGGCGGCCGTGCGCGGCTTGCAGGCTCGAGACAAAGCCGCCCAGCGCAAGGCGTGCATCTGCCTCATTGGCATCGTCATCGTCGCCTCCCTCGTCGTCGTGACGTTTGTGGCGCCGGGCTGGTTCGCCACCGCCGCGACACCGACGACGGAGCTCTCCCTCCCCACGATTGAAGACAGCCGCACCGCCGAGGATTTTGTCAGATGCAACGGCTCCGTGGCGCTTGGCGAACTGTCGGTTGTGGCTGCGACGCCCCCTTGCCTCCAAGAGATGGAGGCGGCTGCAGGCGCGCTCGTTGCGCTCGTTGCCGCCGCAAAGCACCGCTCTACCTTTCTGGGCACTGCGTGCTGGCAAGCCTTGGTCACGCTTGTTGTTCTCGTCGGCGGCGCCGCTTGGACCTTTGGTACGATGCACACCACACCAACGCCCGTTGGTAAGGACTCCAAGCCGTGCTCCGAGCCTGACAAGAACTCCGACTCCGAGTCGTTCGAGGAGGTCGGGCACTTCGATGTGATGTCGTAGCGGCCTTCTTCACGGTCGGTGATGCACTCCTGCTCGTGTGGTCGGCCCCCCCGAGCCGAGACGGAGGTTGCGCTATCTGGAGAACGCATTCGCTCTCTCGACCCCTAACTCTCTCACACAGTCTCACAGCATATGTGTAAATATTGAAAGTGTTGAATGTGGAACGGGGAGTAGACGCGTCTTGGGGGGGGGGGGGGGGACGATTTAGAGGCGTCGTATAGACTCTACGAAGATTCTAGGTCAACACCTGGCCTTACCCATATCTTACCCACTCGCTTGCTTTTTTTCGCTCCAACCCTCCGGGTCTTCACACACACTCACCCCGGAGGGCTACGAGGCCTTCGTCCTTCACACTCCAAGGGGCTGTATCTTACAGGGGAGTAATTGTCCACGCTGTGGGGGTTGTGTGCGGGTTGTGTCTGGAAGGGAGGGAGTGGGGTTCAGGTCTGATTGTTTTGTTTGTTGTCAGGTCTGCTCACCCACGCAACAAAACAAAACAACACCATGCAGAGCGCATCTCTCTCTCTGTTGTGCGAGGCGTGAACCGCGCCATTCGCTCTCCACCTGGCAACCCTGTCTGCACGTCTCGCGCGCGCGTGAACAGGGTTCCAGGCCCCAAATGACGTGTGAGTGTTAGACTTGTTTGGTATTGCTAAAAATCTCTCTCTCTCCCCACGCACGGCACGCAAGGTCTGCTCACCCGGGCGTGGAGATGCGAGGGTCGCCCCCCCTTGCCCCACCACTTTGTGTGTTGAGACGTTTACCTTGCCTGACCGTACTCTACGATAGATCGATAGGAAGGCGAAACGGAGTCCAACCAGCAGAGAAGAGAGAATGAATAAAAGAAAACAAAGGGGGCGCGGCAGCTGGTCGCGTCCACTTTTGCGGGCCCGGAGACGCCAACACCGTGCGCGTGTACATCAACGCAAAGAAAGAAGACGGGCCGATGAGTGACGCCGAGAGTTACGAGGCCATCCCGTGGCCCGGACAATCGGCTTCGCTCTTCTCATCAGTCCGTCCCTCTCCGCAACCGTCAGTCGCACCGCCGTCGTCGGGCGAAGTCTCTGCACTGGCGGCGCATCTCGCCGACCACCTGGGCGAGATTGCAGAGGACGCCGACGCACTTGCCTTTGAGCACGTTGAGTCGTTCAACCTCCTGTGTGTTGGCGAGAGCGGCCTGGGCAAGTCGACCTTCCTTCGCAACATCTTCGCTCACCTCGACCCAACGAAGCTGCACGAGGTTCGCCGGCGTGTCGCTGCCCAGGCGGACGTTGTGCAGTCGCTCGAGGACGTCATCGCTCGAAACGAGCACGAGTCCGGCCATGCCCAATGCGACGATGTGCGCGCGCTCGCTCTGCGCGAGGAGCGTACGCTCCTCAAGGCGAAGCGCGGCGAGGCTCTCCAAACTCTGGAGGATCTGAAGCTGGCGAAGCGCACACAGGAGCACGCAGTGGGCGCGCTGCGCTCCGAGATCGGCGTGCTCGCCTCCCGGATCAAGGAGCTGCGCGGCCGGCGCGATGCCGAGGAAGACGACGACGTGGCGGCCGAGCTGGGCCGCCAGGTGATTGAACTGCAGGGCGAGCGCAAGGCCAAGGAGGCCCTTCTCACGTCCGAACTGCGACGGTCCAACTTGGACAAGGAGAGCGACGGTGGTGGCGGCGGCGGGCAGACAACGGACGTGGTCGAGCGGCTGATCAAGGAGATGCCGCTGTACGACGGCGCGCGGCAGGGGCTCGACGTGACGCTGATCGATACGCCAGGGTATGGCGATTTGCTCGTCGACACGCCCGGCCGCTCCAGCGCCGACAAGGTCGTCGCCGAGGTCGAGCGTCGGATCTCGGTGCACCTCGCGCAGGAGGTGGCGAGCCGAGACGACATGCCGCTCGACGAGGAGAAGAAGCTGTGGAATGGGCTGGTCCACCTGTGCCTCTTCTTCATCCCGCCGCACCGCATGAAGCGCGCCGACGTCGAGCTAATGCAGCGGCTGCACACGCTGGTGCCGCTCGTGGTGGTCATTGCGAAGAGTGACACCATGACGACTGAGGAGACGTGGAAGTTCAAGCACCAAGTGTGTGACCAGCTCAAGCAGCACGTCTCGACCTTCCGCTTCAACGAACGGTCAATCAAGGAGGTCGAGAAGCTCCACGCCGAGCACGCCGTCGACACGTTCCAGCCTCTCTACGGCGGCGCCGACGGCTCCTTGCCCTGGGCGGTCATGGGCGCCGATGACTCGCAGCGCGAGTACATCTGGGGGACGGCCATCACGAACGAGCCACGCCACTCCGAGCTGCCAGCGCTCCGCGACTTGCTGCTCAGGGCGGGAGGGTGGCAGCAGCTGAAACGAGACGCGGCACTCAAGGCGGACAAGGAGGCCGCACGTCGCGCCAAGGCGACGCTACCGCCGTGCCGGTGGGGCAGCGAACTGTGGCGGGGGACGCGTGTCGGTGCGGAGGGCCTCCTCTCCTCCCGGCTCCTCTCGCCCCTCCTCGCAGTCCTCGCCCTCGTGGCCGCCCTCGTCGTCGCCTTGACCGTGCGTGACGCCTTCCACAAGGAGATGTCGAGTGTTCTCACGCTCGAGCAGCAGCTTGAAGCGCTGGGACGCGACTTGTCCTCGTGCAGCCAGGCGCGCGACGCGCTCGACAGGGCGTCCTCCGCCGCCAAGGCCGAGAGGATGCTCTACGAGCGCAAGGTGGCAATGCTGGAGGACGACTGGAATGAGTGCACGCAGGTGCGCAAGGCGTTGGAGATCGACCTGCAGGCGATCAAGACGACGCCCAAGCCGCCGCTTGCCGCGGCGACGGAGCGGCAGGCGCGCTCGTGGTGGTGATGTGACGAATCGAGCCAAGGATGAAAGGGTTTTACAAGACTGTGGGTTTCTCTCGCCTATGTGCGTCAGCCTGTGGCGCTGTGCGCTGTGGGGTATCGGATCTGCGACAAAAGTTGTGTTTTTGGAGTTGTATGCGAGACTTGCGAGGAGTTGGTACAAAGGCTAGAGGATGCCTCCCCCCTAACGTACGTCACCTATTCCGCGGCGCCCCCGCCGAGTCGCCCAGCGCCAGCCCGCCCAACCGCAACCAAACCGAGGCGACCTGCTGGCCCATACTCGCCGGGCGGCGAGTCCTCCTGCTCCGCCTCCGCCTCTCTCTCGGGGTCGGCGGCCGCCTCAAGAATGTAGACACGCAGCCGCAGAGCCTGGATTCTTCCGCGCGCCTTCTCGAGGGCCTCCTCGTGCTCGTCGCGCTGCGGTTCGGGGGAAGGGGAGCTGGGCTTTGGCGAGGCAAGACACGTCGAGGGGAGCTGGTGGGGGCGTGTCGTGGGGCAGCGGGACTCCACTCTGGCTCTGGCTGCCAGCCGGCAAGTCGCAAGGGATTTGTGTCGGAGGATCTCGCAACTCGCCTGCGCCGCCATCGCGCGGCGGTGCGCGGTGCGCTCCTCCTCGAGAACGGCGCGCAGCCAGCTCACCTCGGCGCACAGCTCGGCGTGGCTCCGCCCCTCGACCGCACCCTCCCTCTCCCCGACAGCCTCAGCGACGGCAGGCTCGGCCGCAGCCGCCGGGGGATCCCGTCCTGGCTCCACCACCTCCGCCGCCGCCTCCTGCTCCGCCTCTTCCTCCGCCTGGTTGTCTGGTTGTCCGGCGGCAGTGGTGGCGGAGGCGTCGCCGCTGCGTCTGTCGCCACTTGGGCCACCACTGCCCCGGACGCCCCATCCGCTGCCGCCGCCGCCGCCGCCGCCGCCGCCGCCGCCGCCGCCGCCCTCCGCCCCGCAGCCGGCATCACCGCCACTGCTGTAGCCACCGCTGGCGCGCCTGCGCCCCTTGCCCGCGGCGGTCCACCCCTCGCCCTGCGGATGTGCGCATGCGCGGACATGTCACGGTGCAGTGATGGGACGTGCCGGGTAGGGGTTGGAAGGCGGCCGCCGTGATGAGCACCTGCCGTGGACGTGTCGTGGACGCGTCAGTGGCCGCTGCTTGCACATCCCGCAGCTCAGCCTCCCAGGATGTGTCGAGAGTCTGGAGGCGGACACACACACACACACATACACACACACACACACATACACACACACACACTCTCTCTCCTCTCTCTCTCTCTCTCTCTCTCTCTCTCTCTCTCTCTCTCTCTCTCTCCCGGCGCAGACCTGCAGGTCGCTCTCGGTCGCGTCGACCGAAGGGGCCAGCATCAGCTCCTCGAGGCTGGCACCTGTGAGTACACACGCCCAGTCTCGAGTGGCGCAGGGGCAACACAGAGATGCCTCCCGCACACACAGGCACCGGCACCGCCGTCGACACAGGCACCGGCACCGCCATCGGCCGGCGCCGGCACCGCCCTCCCCTCCTCCTCCTCCTCCTCCTCCCCGCCTCGCTCTCCAGCCTCACGCTGCTCGGACCCTCGCCGCCGCCGCCTCTGCGCCGCCGCCGATCCCGCGGTCCTCTGCTTGGCCCCGGCTTTGCCGTGCCTTCGCGCCCGCTCCTCCTCCTCCGCCTCCTCGCGGGCAACCAAGCTCAGCAGCTCAATCTCGGCTGCTCGCCGCCGCTCCTCCTTCCTCTGCCTCTCCTGCTCCTGCTCCTGATCCTCCTCCTCCCGCTCCTCCTTTTCCTGCTGCTGCTGCGGCCGTCGCTCCTCCGCACGTCCCGCGTCCGCGCCCAGCACTGCCGCAGCAAGCGCCGCCATCTCCGGCGAGGGCGAAAGGGCAGGCGTTAGCCGCAACAGGCCGCCACCGCACTCGCCGGCGCCGCCTCCCGCCGCCTTGAGCGCGAGCTGCAGGCGGGCAAACGCATTCTGCTCCTCCAGCGTCGGCGCCACTTTTTGGCTGGGCTTGAGGACGAGCCCGGCAAGGAGCGCGAGGAGCGGAGGGATGCCAAGAAGCCGCTGTGCAGGACCGAGTGCTGCCTGCGCCTCGGCCTCGAATGAACGGAGCCGCTCGAGCAGGATTGCTGCCTGCTGTGGGTCGCCGACCGCCACCATTCGCAGGCGGACGGCTTTGGAGTGCCGGAAAATCGGTCGCACCGACTGCACTCCAAAAGCTCCAAGTGCGGCGTCAAAACGTAAAAAAAGAAACACAAGGAGCTAAAAGAAAAATGATGGATTCTCCGCGCGCGAGCACTGACTGACTCGGCGCTGCGAGCGAGCAAGCGCATCTATTCGTGCATGACGCTGCAAGTGCTCCCGCTCCTCGCGCTCGGCTGGTCGCCGATCGCGGTCCCGCCGCCTGCCGCGGCCGTGACGCGCGGCGGCCTTCTCATCGGAGCCAGCGCAGCGGGCGCATCCAGTGGGCAGATGGTCGACGGCGCGCGAATTGGCCCGCCTCCGGACATGCCGTCGATGCTGCTGAACCAGCGGATCGTGTACCTCGGATTGCCGCTGAGCGCGCAGGTGACGGAGCTCATCATTGGCCAGCTCCTCTACCTGCAGTACGACTCATCCGAGAAGCCGATCACAATGTACATCAACTCGCCCGGCACCACGCTCGAGGTGCCGACAGAGACTCCCCAGCTACACGCACCCGCTCACTGCGGCTCTCTCCCGCGCCCACACCTCCGCACCCACCTCCGGGTGCTGCCGCCTCGCCTCTCGCCCCCGCCAGCCTCTCAGCGGCTCTCACACCCCTCTCTCCGCTCTCACGCCGCACCACCGCCCCTCGCCCTCGCCCTCGTCCACTCGCCCTCGTGCAGGACGGCCGGCCGGTCGGCTTCGAGACGGAGGCCTTCGCGATCGCCGACACCATGGGGCGTGTCCTCCACAAGCCTCGCGCACACTGCTGCGAGTGTGAGCGGCGCCTCTTCACGGCTCTGGGTGTGAACACAGGTACGTGAAGCCGCCCATCCACACGCTCCTCGTCGGCAAGGCGTACGGCCTCTCGGCGCTGCTGCTCGCCTCTGGCGACAAGGGGCACCGCTCGTCCCTTCCGTGCGGAGTAGCCGAGACCGCCGAGAGGAGAGGGAGCCGAGAGGGGCCGAGAGGGGCCGAGAGGAGCCGAGAGGAGCCGAGAGGAGCCGAGAGGGGCCGAGAGGAGCCGAGAGGGGCCGAGAGGGAGCCGAGAGGGGCCGAGAGGAGCCGAGAGGAGCCGAGAGGGGCCGAGAGGGGCCGAGAGGAGCCGAGAGGGGCCGAGAGGAGCCGAGAGGGGCCGAGAGGGGCCGAGAGGGGCCGAGAGGAGCCGAGAGGAGCCGAGAGGGGCCGAGAGGGGCCGAGAGGGGCCGAGATTGGCAAGCGGGCCCCGCTCGACGCTGCCCTGCGGACAGGCTAGCAGGAGGAGAGAGCGCTGCCCGGGCTGTGAGGTGCGGTCAGAAGTGTCGGCCTCACTGCGTGTTAGGTACTGCACGGTGATGCTTCACCAGCCGCGGGGGCAGATGGCGCAGGGGCAGGCGTCAGACATCGCAATCAAGGCGGGGGGCGGCCGAGATGGAGCCGAGAGGGCGGGCGGCGGCGGTGGGCTGGCCGGCAGGGATGCGCATGGGAGCGTGTGGAGGGAGGGAGGGAGGGAGGGAGGCGGCGAGGGCGGGCGTGGCGGAGGCGGTGGCGCGCGCAGCTCTGCTCTCGCGCGACTCTGCTCTCGCGGCTCTCCGCCCACGCCTCTCCCTGTACTTCCTCTGCACAGGCGCGCGAGGTGCTCGTCAACCGAAAGAACGCGCTGCAGATGCTCTCGGCCGCCACGGGGCAGAGCGAGGAGCCCTCCCCCTCTCTGCCCGTCCCTCTCTCCCCTCTCTGCCTCTCTCCTCTCTCTGCCTCTGCCTCCCTCTCTCTCGCTCCTCATCTCTTGGCCCCAGACCTTGCCCCCCCCCCCCCCCCCTCCTGGTGGGCTCACACCTCACAGGAGCGGCTGCGTGCCGACACGAATCGCTGCCTCTACCTGGACGCGCAGCAGGCGGTCGACTACGGTATCGTCGACAAGATCATCGACAAGAGGCAGGCGGTCGGCGTCGACTCGCTCGCCGAGGACGTCGCGGCGGTCTCGCGCGGCCTCGGCTGAGCCTCCACCTCCTCCTCCTCCGTCACCTCAGCCTCCTCCCCTGCCACCTCAATCCACAATCGCACGAGAGACGAGAGTCGACCAGCGGCGCTCAGGTCTTAGCCATGAGGTTGTGTGCGGTGGCGAAAGGCCGGCGGAGGCCGCATTCAGTCCGCTCCGTCCGCAGAGGCGCGTGTGCAGTGATAAAAACTTGTACAATCTCAATCGGATCTCTCTGCGGAAAGCACGAGACTGCGTGACATGGAAAGACTGGCACACGTACAGTTCACTCCTCCATCTTACTCCTCCATCTTACTGCTCTGCGTCTTGCCTCCCCCGCTGTTGTTTGCTCGCACACGCTGCTTCTTCAGGCTCTTCTTCGTGATCTTGGGCAGTGTGGCGCTGCCTGCTCGTCTGGTGAGCGGCGTCGCGGCGGATTGGATCTGCTCCTTGGTGACACCACCCTTGAGCTTGAAGTTCTTCTTCTTCTCGCGCACCCTCTGGCGCTTGCGCTGCTCCTTTGTCTGCGTCCTCTTGCGGTTGAACTGCGGCGGTGGCATGCCAAGCGGGCGGAGCGTCGCCTGGCGAAAGAATTTTTGGAACACGCCCATCCCAGAGCCCTGTGCATCTCCTGACGTCCTTACACACATTTGAACGTGTGGGCGGCAGCTGTCTGTTTACAGGCGCTGGCCGCCCGCGCGCGCGCCGGACCGGCTCCGGCACGTCCGGCGCTGGGCGGCGCGCGTCCACACTGCGCGTCGCGCAAAAGGCGAGCGCTCGCCGCCGCTACGGCGGCGGCGGCGGCCGACGGCCGACGGCCGACGGCAGACGGCAGACGGCAGACGGCAGACGGCAGACGGCAGACGGCATACGGCCTAGGCTCGGCTGGGCGCGCACGCGCACGCGCGCGCGTCGCGCGCCACGCGTCGCTCCGCGAGGGCGCGCGCCAACCGCGATTCGAACCGGGGCCAAAAGGCGCCTGGAGCGACCGCGGTCCGGTCGCGCCACCGCGGCTGCGGGGCTGATAGAGCAGGCCGGCTGCGGCTCCTGATGTACCTCGGCTTTTGGGTGGCGGTCGCGCGCTGCCGACGGCGCTCGCCGGCGCTACGGCGCTCGCGGCGCGCTCGTGGCGTTCAGGGCGGCTCGGACACGCACACGCACACACACACACACACACACACACACACACACACACACACACACATGCACAGACACACAGCCCCTTCCCCTCCCCCCTCAAGGGCGAGGACACGCACAGGCCGCACCTCTAGTGAGGCCCGCATAGTATGTGGGAGACTCGTGCCGCCGCCCCTGCCACCCCTGTGTCAGTGTGCCTGTGGTAGGAGAGACTGCCAGCGACAAGCTGGAGGCAGGTCGCTAGACTGAGATGAGACCGCCAGTGGATGTGGGAGTCCACCGCGCACCGCGCTGCGAGCCTGTCGTGTCCCTTGTCAGGAGCAGGAGAGCCCCACCTGTCCCCCTGATCGTCCTTCCAAAATCCTGCTCGTGCAGGTGTGGACCCTGTCCTCGTCCCATCCCTCGTTTGGCGTGTCTGTTTTCTTTCTTTCTTTTTCCCTGTGCATGAAGGTTGCAGCGAGAATCGGCGAGAGACTGCGAAGAGAGATAGGAAGAGGCGGACGCCCAAGGGTGGGCGACGGCTAGCGCACCACACCCCTCTCCTTAAAATCCCTGTGTGGTGGCGGCGTGCCGTCCTCCCATCCCTCCCTTGGTTTGTCCGTTTTCTTTCTTTCTTTCTTTTAGCCCTGTGCCGTCCTCCCATCCCTCCCTTGGGTTGTCTGTTTTCTTTCTTTCTTTAGGAGCCCTGTGCCCAGCCCTCTCCGCGCGGCGATGCGCCCTCCCCCCTCGCTTTTGCAAAATCCTGCAAAGGTGGGGACGTGTCTGTCCTCGACCCAGCCCTAGCTTGGGATGTCCGTTGTATTTATTTATTTATTAGGATTCCTACACACCTCGAACCGCGCCATCCTCGATCGCCGTGCAAAGCTCGCTTCCGAGCTCTCACGCCGCGCGTAGGGCCCTTAGGGGCCTAGAGAACACAACCCCCTCTCCCGTTTCTCCCAGTAAGCTAAAAGTACATACACCTCCAGTAAGCTAAAAGTACGTACGTACACCTCTGTTCCAGAAACCCGAGGAGTCACACAGTCCACACCTGTGTGATGCACGCCCTGTGAGCTCGACCTGTGAGCGGGGCGGGGTGCGCACTGTGCCTCTGTGTTCGTGCTGGAGATGACTGCTCTATTTATTTATTTCGCCCATCCTATGCCACAGGGGAATCCCTGGGACCCTGTCGTGTGGGTGAACCCTGCCCAGCCCCCCTCCGTGCCGCGATGCGTTCCCCACTCCCGTTCCCCTGTGTCCCTGATCGTCCTGGTCCAAAATCCTGCTCGTGCAGGTTGCCTCGCGCGCCTCTTTTGTGGCCTCATCCCTAGCCGCTTTGCACGCTCTGCATCCCCAGAACGCACTTCTCGTGGCGGGGCCCCTCATTCCCCGTTTCTTTCCCCCCTCTAGAATACGCCTGTGCCCCGTGTGGCACCCCGACCTGTTGTCTCGCCCTGGCCCCCAAGATCGTTTTGGTCGTCACATTGTGTCGAGACCGTGTCCTGATGTGATCTGCACGGGTGGTGAGTCACGTCGGCGTCAAAGGAGCGACGTGCGACCTGTCAGAGCTTGAGCTCCGATCTCAGCGGCGTCGAGTCGTCTCCAGCGCCGACAATTATTATTTGGTACATCTCCAGCACTCCAGGACGCGCAGAGGCAGCTGAGACACCCCTGCGTGGACGGCCGCACACCGCGCCCCCTGCTGTGTGCCCCCGTCCACTCGGCGGGGTCGCAGCTGCCTCTGGAAGGCACCGAGCGGTACCAAATGGCGCAAATGGTCAAATCAAGGTTTTTTCACGCGAGCTGTGCCACAGTGAAATGGAACTAGCCCCAACTCTCGAGGGGCCAAAATATGCCGCGAGGAGAGCAGAGCTGCGACGAAAGGAGAGAGAAGCCGCGAGCAACACTTGTGCCTTCACCGATGATGTTGGCGCTGGGGTCCCCTTCGGGTGCATCGTTACAGCTGACGACGGGATTTCCACTGGTTCGTCCTCCTCGGAGTCCTCTTCCCCGGCTTCCTCCCGTTCGGCTCTACGTTCAGCACGTTCAGCGTGGCTCACCCTCCATGCCGTGAACAGGCGCTTTATCCATCCTATATTCTTCTCTCTCTCCTCTGCCCGTGCCTTGGTCTTGTCGTTGTTTCGCACCCATGTGCATGTCTGTAGGAATCCCACCAGGGGTTGTCTGCTCTATTTATTTATTGGCTTCGTCAACGGGCGAGTGCCTTACCACACTCGCCTCGGCATCACTCGAAGCCGCGAGCTCGGATGCGGCCACAAGAGCGGCCTGCTTGGCACGCAGCTGCGTAATCGTCGGCCCGCGTGCGCGGCTCTTCACGGCCTGTGCAGGCGAGTTGGCGTTCACGCGCTGAATCATCATCGTCATGGCTGCTGTCTCGCTCGCTCGTGCGTCCTTGGAACTTGTGCCCGCCTCCTTCTCCTATGAGCTCGTATGCCACGTCGCCGCCTGTGTTTGGGTTTCTATGTTTGCGATTTGGAATTTGATTTGTCCAACTCTTTGTTTATTTATGGTTTTAGCGGACCCTTCGGGGTTGAACTGCCACGATGCCACGAACACAAACACAACTCTGGCCTCACCGCGCCACCACCTTCGGCAGCACAAAGCCGCGCCAGACGTCCGCCAGCTCCGGAGCCGCGCCCTCGCGGCCGTCGAAGCGCTCCTCGTCCCAAGCGATCAGGTAGCCCAGCCGCATCACCTCGACCGCCCGCTTGCGAGCCGCCTCCGGGAAGAGCTCGTGCGACTGCGGCGACCAATCCGCCGCCTTGAGGATGAGACTGCCCACCTCCACCGCCTCGGCCGCTGGCTGCAGGTTGGCCGGCCTGGGGGAGGGCAGAGGCGTGGGGTATTCAAGAGAGGTGTCTGAGAGAGGATCCGGCGAGTCGGGGAGAGACCATGGCGCGCCTCAGTGCGAGTGCCTTGGCCTCGCCCGCCACGCGCACGCCGAAGCGGCGCGTCGAAGCGCTTGCGGAGACGACGACGCCGACCTTGCCGTTCATCGAGGGCCGCGAGACGAGAGAGTGGATCGCGACGGTGGAGCCGACGGCCGCAGCGGCCGGATCCGACTCGCCCCACGCGCAGAGGACGCGCGCCCGCTCGAGGGCAGAAGGCTCGCCGGCTGAAGAGTCCGCGCCGCCGCGCAGCAGCGCCCGCGCCCGCTCGACGGTGAGCGCCTGCGGAAGAGGGGCAATACGCGTGAGGACAATGCGCTCACGCCTTCGGCCGCTAGTCTCTGGCACGCCTCGAGGTGCTGGAGCGGCGTCCAGCCGCGGCTGGCGACCAGCCAGGTGGCGAGGTCGGCGTGGCCTTGGCTGTTTGCGGCCTCCTCGGGCGTGCCGAAGGGCGTTGCGGCGCGGGAGGCGCCGTAGGAGGAGAGGAGCTTGGCGACCTCGAGGTGGCCATTGTAGCACGCGGCGAACAGCGGCGTGGCGCCGTTCTGCTTGGCTTGATCGATAGCCGCGCCAGCCTCGAGCAGCAGCCGGGCGATCTCGAGGTGGTTGTTCTGGCACGCGATGTACAGCGGCGTGGCGCCACTCTCATCGGCCTGGTCGATCGCTGCGCCGGCCTCGAGGAGCAGCCGGACGCACTCGAGCTGGCCCTCCTGGCACGCGATGAACAGCGGGGTGATGCCATCGTTGCGGGCTTGGTTGACCGCTGCGCCCGCCTCGAGGAGCAGCCGGGCGATCTCGAGCTGGTTGTTCTGGCACGCCATGAACAGCGGCGTGACGCCTCCAGCATCTGCTTGGTTGACCGACGCGCCAGTCTCGAGGAGCAGCCGCACGCACTCGAGGTGGCCATTCTGGCACGCCATGTACAGCGGCGTGGTACCGTCATCCTTGGCTTGGTTGACCGACGCGCCAGTCTCGAGGAGCAGCCGGGCGCACTCGATCTGCCCTTCCTGGCACGCGATGAACAGCGGCGTGACGCCACTGTTCGCGGCTTGATTGACCGCCGCGCTGGCCTCGAGGAGCAGCCGGGCCGTCTCGAGGGGGCCCTGCTGGCACGCGACGTACAGCGGCGTGTAGCCTTCAGCGTCTGCTTGGTTGACCGCCGCACCAGCCTCGAGGAGCAGCCGGGCGCACTCGGGGTGGCCGGTCTGGCACGCCATGAACAGCGGCGGGACGCCATCATCCGCGGCTTGGTTGGGTGCAGAGCCAGCCTCGAGGAGCAGCCGAAGGCACTCGTGCTCGCCGTTCTGGGACGCAACGAACAGCGGTGTGACGCCATCATCAGCAGCTTGGCCGACCGCCGCGCTGGCCTCGAGGAGCAGCCTGGCGCACTCGTGCTCGCCGTTCTGGGACGCAACGTACAGCGGCGTGGCGCCTCCAGCATCTGCTTGGTTGACCACCGCGCCCGCCTCGAGGAGCAGCCGGGCGCACTCGGGGTGGCCGTTCTCGCAGGCAACGCTCAGCGGCGTGAAGCCTTCAGCATCTGCTTGGTTGACCGCCACGCCAGTCTCGAGAAGCAGCCGGACGCACTCGATCTGCCCTTCATGGCACGCCATGAACAGCGGCGTGACGCCATCATCAGCAGCTTGGTCGACTGCCGCGCTGGCCTCGAGGAGCAGCCGAACGATATCGGGGTAGCCCCCAGCGCAAGCGAGGAGGAGAGCGGAAGCGCCTTCGCCGTCAGCTGCCCCGGCGCTCGCGCCGCCTTCGAGCAGCAGCCGCACCGCCTCGGCCTGCCCGTGCCGAGCGGCCCAGGTGAGCAGCGTGTCTTGCCTCTCGGTGTCGAGCCGTGCGTCGAGCTGGGCCGCGAGCGACGTGCCGCTCGTCCCCTGCCCGGAGAGGAAGGCGCGCAGCGAGGCCAGATCGCCCCGGGCTAGGTCCTCGAGGCGCGTACAAGTCCGCCGACTACCTCATGTATCGTAGTTATGGCACACTTCAGAGCTGTGAACGTGAACAGAGTGGTACCAGCACTGTGGGTCGTTGCGGCACGCAAGGGGGGCCTCCCGGACGCATGATCCTAGCCCAATACGTCCCACGGAGCACGTTTCGATTTTTGACAGAATTAAATGCACTGCCCCCGCACGGTACTAATAGTCGTAGTTTTGGCACCGCTGCCCTTCACGGCACCACACCGCCGCTTGACAGCCCGAGATTAGCCTAGCAGCGAGTGGGCATCGCCTGCCGGTCGGCTGGGCACGAGCCAAGCACTTGGGCGGCCGTCAACCGAGTCCGAGCGGCGCCTGAGGTGGGTGCCACGGCGTCTGCACGAAGGCGTGGCGGGGTGAGGAGCCAGGAGTGGTGAACACCTCCCCGTCGGGCGCGCGGCGCGTCGGATGGTCCGCCGAGGCCGCCGCCGCCCCGGCGGCGGCGATGGGGGCGGCGGGGCCGACCCGGCCGGCGTTTGTCGGCTCCACCTACAGAAGAGCAGTCTCTGTGGGTCGACGATACTAACTCGGTAGTAACGCGGAGCGGTGCTGTGCGGCGCCGAGTTGTGCGCGAGGCGACCTCCTGAGGCTACCTGAGCTGGCAATGGATGCCACCAGGACGCACGGCTAGCAGGAGCCAGTCAGGCATGCCCTGCTGTGGAGCAGAGCCGGCTGGCGCACCGGCGATACTAACTCAGCGCGCCGCGAGAGGCGAATCTGGGCGACTTTGGAGGCGCAGTTCTCGAGGTTGCCGTCGACGATTGATGTCGGGTAAATTGTCACTGCCGTCGGGGCAGGTCTTCTCTCAGCAGGCCGAGCGCCGTGGCCTGGCTCGGCTCGCCGCGAACGCCGCGAATTTATCAGGACCAAAACTCACGACACCTCGATACTAACAAAGACTCCCATACATGAGGTAAATGATTTTCGACCGACCGCAGGGAAACGCAGGACGCCCCACCCCCGACCGAGCTGCGAAACAACGGCGTCCACACCGGCCGCCGCTCGACGACCAAAATTTTCTTCGGCGCTGCGCGCCGTTGCAGTCGAGTGTATGTCTGTGTATGTTGCAGCCCAGGTGCCCAGCTATGCCGTCGCGTCACCGACGGCTCGTGCTTGCGTATGATAGCAACCCCTTGTCCGACGGCAGCGTCCTCGCGTCCGCCTCCGCCCGCGCGGCATCATCATTGTCCGCCTACACCACTGCGGCCGCGGCCGCACCCGCGGTGGCAGGGTTTCACACACGCCCAGGCGCAGGTGCAGCAGCAGCCAGTGCAGCAGCAGCAGCTAGTGCAGCAGCGCGTGATCACGCTTGCACACGCGATGGGCGGTCGTCATGTGCTGCAGGATGGGTCACTTTGGACGCGTCCCATCGGAAGGCCGCCGCTTCCACCCGGCTCCGAGAAGGCACAGCGAGGCGCGGTGCAATCAGTGGAAGCACCATCGGATCAAAAAGAACGCCGATGCTGCCCTACAGGCTGCGCAGACAGTGCTAGCTCTTTATAGCGAGGCGACCAGGCGCGAGATGTTCACTCTCGCGCCACATCCCTACAAAGGGGTGCATTGTACCCACTTGCACGCCGGCACGAGCGCGGCGCCGCAGTGGGGCAAACGGGGCATCTGGGGCTAGCTCAGCTATGAGCATCACCTCTGCCGCTTCTCGCCATCCCCGAGGAGCAGCGCGCCCGAAGCAGGTGAGTCACGGCCGCTAGGTACAGCGAGCGCGGCGAGCCAGAAGCGAGAAGGGAACGTCAAGGAGAAAATCAGCAGATTCCAAGATTCAATCTCGTTTGACAAAATCCACACGGAGGTCGGGTAACTGGGAGTCGGGAGCTCGGGAGTATAAGAAAATCTCCCAAAATTTTCGTCGGCGCTGACGCGCCGACAAAGCTGGTGTCCGACCCCGACCGCCGGCCGAAACAGCCGCGTCCAGCCCGACCTGCGGCCGGCCGAAAATCATTTAGTCGGCGGACTTGTATGCTGGAAAGACGCGCGTCCAACATAGGCGACAAGTTTGTTCGAGACCTCGCGAGGCAGATACACAGTCGTCGAATGTTGTGCCTCCAGCAAAAGAAATCAAAAATGAAGAAAAGAAAAAGAAAAGTGGCAACAGCGTGGGCGCGTATAATGCGGTCAAAGCTCAAACGACCGATAATGGTCGGCCAGTCCTTCTCGTCGCTGCAGCCGCGCTACGGCAAGATCGACCTCTACCCGGAGACGGGCACCTTCACCACCTCGGCTCAGGCGGAGGGTGCGCTCGAGGGCACGGCGGATATGTACCGGGTGAACGACCAGGCGACCTTCCTCTGCGACGACGATGTGGTGCTCTTCCCATACGACTCGTCCGAGTGCTCCTTCACGCTGGTCGGCGAGCAGACGGTCACGCACTTTGATGGCAGCCTCGGCTTTGAGATCGCCGACCCCGACCGCGACTTCCACACCTACGGCTGGATAGAGGAGGACGATATGGAGGACGACTCGGTGAAGCGCTCGCGGGTTCACTTCCGGCTTTGCTACCGGCGCGTCACGATGGGATACAATATCCGGCTAGTGGTCCCGGCGGTGCTGCTTAACGCCATCGGGTTCATGTCCTTTTGGATCGATTCGGCGGGCGAGAGTATAGCGCTTGGCATCACCTCGCTGCTGTGCATGCTGGCCCTCCGCCAGTCGGTTCAGCTCCCCGACACGTCCCAATTCACTTGGGTGGAGCTGTTCCTGCTCTTCAACGTGATCTTCCAATCCTTCGTCCTCCTGCTCGGTTTCATGGACTATTCGGCGGCGATCCGGAATCGCGTGAAGGTGGTGACCGACCCGATCAACAGTGGCCTGGAGCGGCTGTCCCGAACGGTCAAGCGCGGGAGACTTGCCCTCAAGGCGCCCAAACAGGAGGTCGGCGACGCGCGGGTGGAGTCCGTTGACGACGGCGACGACAAACCACCTGGGCTCATGGCCACCGGAGCACTGGCCGACGACGAGAAGAAGGAGGAGAAATCTGCTGCAGACGTGCTTGGCCGGTACCTGATAGTGCCAAGCTACTTTTTGCTGTTGGCGCTGATCTGCGCCGACGAGGGGCGCCTCGTCGGGCGGCTGATGTCCTCGCAATCATTGCTCACGTGTCCGACGTCGCTCCCTGAGGAGGGCAAGGATGGAGCCACGCCGAGATGGGGCTCGTTTACTGACTACCCTCCACCATGACTAAACGGCGATCGGCGATCGTGTCTACGGTGGCACACTTTCTCTTGTTATATCTTGTGACAGCTAGACAGCACAACGCGCAACACACGTGCACCGCGCACGGCTTTTTTTACAGACGCAAACCAGTGCAGGACCAGGAGAGAGACGACGCGCTCGACGGCTCCCACAGCCACACACCAACGAAATCGGATGTGAGAAACGTATACCGTATTGTTGCTCGGCTGACGAGCAAGCGAGCGAAGGGGGAGAACCGGAGCCCGGGAGGACGGTCGGTGAGCCCCGAAACGAGGGTCCAAGCAGGACTGGTTGGGTAGTAGGCTAAGTTCTGAGCCTCGAGGCGGCTTATAACTTAACAGGTCTAAGTCGTAAGTGTGACCGGTCACGCTGGGGTGTTTACGCGGCCTAAGATCGGCTCGAGCCTCTTATGCGGGCTAAGTCAGCCGTGATCATTAGGGTTGCAGCCTCAAACGCAGCAAAACTGGCCCCAGGATTTTGGTCTTCGGTTTCGTCGCCAAGCATAGGTTTCATTTTCATAGTCGGCCGTCCTAGGACGTACGTCATTTCGAGGTGCGATTTCGGTTCTCGCGTGTATCTCGCTGCGCAATGGGAGTTAGCGCGCTCGCTCGCAGAGCGGCGCCTGCTAGCCGAGCGCGAATGCCTGGGTCGCTGAGCTCGCGCCGGTGGCCAGCTGCGCCTCCGTGGCGACGCCCTCCGACCACGAGCGACGTGCCAATCCGCACTATGAGCTCGCTTGGCAGCCGCCGAGTACGAGAGGACTTTAAACGGCCGGCTGACCAGGCAGCCAGCCGACTTCCCGCACCGGTCAGCGCACGTGCGGCCGCGCGTGTACGGGCGGCCGCACATGCTCCGCCTCGACGGCCGCCTCGCGCTCGCTCGAGGTCTGCTCCGCCCGAGCAGCGAGCTCTCAGGTGCGGGCTCTCGGGGCGCCGACCGGCTGGTAGGGAGGAAGGTCGACCGCGGAGCCAGGGCAGAGACGGCCGGGGCTGGGACCGTGAGCGGCGATCGCGCTCCGAGAAGCCCAGCGACGGCAAGGCAGTACGACGAGGCGCGACGCCCGTAGAGGGGAGGGCTGGCGAACAATTCGAAGCGTTGTGGTCTGTGGCTTTTCATGGAGAGAGAGTGGAACTTTAAAACTCCTTTCCGAGACAGAATGCTGACTCAACGCCCGCCCCGCTCGCCGCGACACGCCTTTATCACGGTAAAGGGAGTGGACCCTGAGTTGACCAAGGGTTATGCGCTGGGCCCTCCTGCTCGGCTTTAGCCAGTAGACAAGTCTTGTCATCAACAGAGTAGAAGGATCTGACCTCGGGGCCGATGTGACCAAGCGCTGGTAGCGTGGTTTAACCTCACACCCATGGTCTCACAGTGTGCCGGCAGTCGCCGAGCAGTGTCGCTCACACAAGCCGCAGCACAAGTGACTGAGGGCCAGTGAGGGCGAGCCCATCGCTGTCACAGCTGTGGCAGCCGCACAGTAGGCTGTGTCAACTGTGCAGAGTGTGTGAGCAGCAGAGGAGCTGCTCTCCAGGCTTCTGTCGCAAAGAGCTGCATGCCACCGAAAGCGCTGTCGAGGTTCGCCGAGCGCGGCGCAGGTTGAGGGAAGCCGCCACCGACGAGCGCGTTGGACTTTTCACTCCGGACAAAGACGGGCACACAGCGGACGGTGCGGGGCGTGTGCCCGTCATAGCGGCGAGGCGCGGGACCGTCTGTGGCGAAGTGGGTCGCGTCCCTCGATTCCTCAACTCAC